GGGGGGGGGGGGGGGGGGGGGAGGAGGTCATGTGTGGAACTTGTGCTCGCGCGCCCTCATGGACGCAAGCCCTGACTCTTCCTCTCGGCATGGTGCCCCGGAACTAGTACCTTGACGGGTGATACCGTTCGAGGTCAGCGCGGACGTCGATGGGGAGCCCGATGCAGAGCACAGTGGGCGGTTCTCTCCCGCTCTCCTGGCGCAGACCGTTGCAGGTTGCAGGACGTGGTGATGAGCAGGGCTATATAAGCTTGCATCTTCCCATAGCCACAGCTCATGCATCACCGTCACTCCGATCCTGCTAAGCTCCCCCTCCCTATCCTTACAGCACACTTGAAGTCAAAACCCAAGCTCCGTCTCTCCGCCTGTCAGAACAGAAGATGGTGTCTATCCTTGCGGTGGCCCTCGGGCTCTCTGCCGCTGCCGGGACCCTCGGGTCGCCGACGGTGCCCCTGGGACGGCGGGCGGGCCAGACGGCAACTGTCGTCATCCCCTCCCCGGATGCGACCGTGCTGGGGAATGTGATGAACGGCGTCGAGTCCTTTGGCGGGATCCCCTACGCCGAACCTCCCACCGGACAGCTGCGCCTGAAGCCCCCGAAGCGCCGGACCGAGCCCCTCGGGACCTTTGACGCCACCGGTCCGGCCGGGGCCTGCCCCCAGTTCCTCTCCTCGACAGAGAGCCAGGATTTCCTGTTCAAGCTGCTCGGCACTATTGCCAACCTGCCTTTTGTCCAGGAAGTCACGGGGCAGAGCGAGGACTGCCTCACCATCACCGTTGCCAGGCCCGAGGGTACCACCTCCGAGGACAAGCTCCCGGTCCTGTACTGGATCTTCGGTGGCGGATTCGAGGTAATGCCCAGCGTCGGTCGATCCGATCCCATCCGATCTGCTCATCCCCGCTTCTCATTCTTCTCCGTCTTTTAATGTTCATTTTTATAATTCTCAAACTGTTTCTTCCTCTGCCGAGCCGCTCATCGTTTCTGACCGATCTTGATAGCTCGGCTGGTCATCCATGTACGACGGTACGTCATTGGTCAACTACGGGGTCGAGATCGGACGCCCGTTCGTCTTCGTCGCCGTCAACTACCGCGTCGGCGGCTACGGATTCATGCCCGGCAAGGAGATCGAGCAGGAAGGTTCCGGCAACGCCGGGCTGCTGGACCAGCGCATGGGGCTGGAATGGGTTGCCGACAACATCGCCGCCTTCGGAGGCGACCCGGACAAGGTCACCATCTGGGGCGAGTCGGCCGGCTCGATCTCGGTGTACGCGCAGATGGCCCTCTTTGACGGCGACATCGAGTACGGCGGTAAGGCGCTCTTCCGAGGTGCCATCATGAGCTCCGGGTCCGCCGTGCCGACCAACCCCCTCTCCTCGGACCGCGGACAGGCCGTCTACGACCAGGTGGTCGACGCCGGCGGCTGCGCCGGCGCCGACGACACGCTCGCCTGCCTCCGGGCCCTCAGCGCCGAGGACTTCCTCAGCGCCACGACTGCGGTGCCCCACCTCCTCTCCTACTCCTCGCTGGCGCTCTCGTACGTGCCCCGGCCGGACGGCCGCACCCTGACGGACTCGATGGACGCCCTCGTGCTGGCGAACAAGTACGCTCCCGTGCCCATGATCGTCGGCGACTGCGAGGACGAGGGGACGCTCTTCGCCCTCTTCCAGCCCAACCTGACCACGCCGGCCGAGCTGGCCGACTACCTCCACCAGTACTACTTCGGGGCCGCCACCCCGGCGCTCCTGGAGGATCTGATCGCCACCTACGGGACCGGCATCGCGGCCGTGACGGACAACAGCCCGTTCGGCACAGGCCTGCTCAACGAGGTCTTCCCCGGCTTCAAGCAGCGGGCGGCCATCCTGGGCGACCTCGTCTTCACCCTGACCAGACGGCTGTTCCTCACCGTCACCGCCGGCGTCAACCCGGACACCCCCTCGTGGTCGTACCTGCTGTCGCAGAACAAGGGGACGCCCATCCTCGGGACCTTCCACGCCTCCGACCTCCTGCAGGTCTTCTACGGCGTCAACGACAACTACGCCGCCAAGAGCATGCGCTCCTACTTCATCAACTTTGTCTACTCGCTCGACCCGAACGGGGACGGCGACACCGGCTTCCCCGACTGGCCGAGGTGGGACGAGGCCCACGAGATGGCCCACGTCTCGGCGGGCAGCTCCTCCATCCTGGCCGACAACTTTAGGGAGGACAGCTACAACTGGATAGTGGATAACCTGGCTATTCTGCGCCTCTAGGTCGACATGTCTTGGGGGGGGGGGCTAGCTATCAGGTTAGCACCGAACTTTGAGGGTTCGATCATGCAGATCTGTCCCGGGAGAGAAGAAGACTATCGCTGGTGATGCAGTGGCGGAGCCAACCTTATCGTCCCACCTTGCATTGTCCGCTGCCCGTTGTCCGTCGTGAGCTTTGCGATGTGAGACGCTACAGTTTGGATACGGCATGGCATGAGATGGAGGTGAGGAGATGCAACTACTCCATCCGCATTAGTCCCGTGCACAGCCCGGCACGGCAGTTCGTGCTGCTTGCCAATATACTACTGCTACTATTACTACTACTATTACCACTACCACTACTAGTAATAATTGTAATGATACATGGTTGTCGGGTCGGCACCGGCGCAGCGCCATGCAAGTCTAAGAGGAACTAGATTGTGGGGATGCGGGGTGCGTGATCTGGGGATATTGTCATCCTTATTATTCTCATTATTCTTATTAGTAGAAAGTATAATCAATACACCTCGGCCTTTGTCTTGCCAAGTTGAATAGAAGCGCAAGGCCCACTCTTGACTGCATCACGAGCATCATCACTGTCGTGTACTGGGCAGTAGCTCGAAAGGTTGACGGAGGAGTAGCTCGGCCACTCGGGCTATCCGCAATATCGCGACTGCGCGCTTTGCTATAGTCGAAGGCTTAACATAGGACATCCTCCCATGCAACGTCGCCTTGTCCATCGGCATCCCGACATTATTCAGACCGGAGGCAGCCGAAGGTGATACACGTGCAGCGGCAGATGTGCGGGGTGGAAGACGCACGTACACGAGTAATATTGCGGGGAATAATAAGAGTCTCTCGAGACCTCTTTGGCCTCGGTATGTAACCTGGAAAGACGACAGTTCTCATTACACGTGCAAGCCCAGACCACGCAGCTTCGACCACGGGGCATCTGCGGTAGATTATGATGACCGATGTGTGTGCTGAAGCGAGGGACGGCACGGGGTCGATGATGGACCTGCTCTGCCCCGTCCCTCCTGGCCGAGGCTGCACGAGTACGTCAGGCATCCTTTCCCCGAGTTCGATCCCGTTATAACCGGTATTGATTCCAAAGGACGGCAGCACCGGTCTGGGCGTGATATATCATGTATGCCACCCCCCCCCCCCCCCCCCCCCGGCCCCTTGGGGGGTCTCATTCCCCCCCCCCCCCCCCCCCTCTCTCTCTCTCTCCTCTGTCCTCTGCTCGTCCGTCTGCGTCGGGATTATCTCTCTGCTGCTCTCTGTTCTTGCCGCAACTATCGCCATGTATTGTTATGCGGTCGTAGCGGCAGCGACCCAGGGAGGCGTATCGGCCATCAGATTCGCAGTACAATCACGTAGCTGATCGTGGTGAGGCAAGCTGGTCGTCATCGTCATCACGGCAGCAGCAACCGTGACCTGGGTTCTACATGGTAACCTCTCCTCGACCTAGACTTCCCCGTCGATACCCATGCTCAGCAGTACCGCGTAACCTGTACACTGTACTCCCCGCCTGAGACGTACGGAGTACACGGGGTCAGCTTCCCGGGGCAGGATGGTGATACGTCGTGATTGTACGGCGTGTCTCTGCTATCCGGTGGGAGTCGAGGTGTGCTTTCGATGTCTTGTCCCTCGATAGTACTACCAGTACGCGACCATGACCTTTACGACGGAAGAGATGCTACATAGATACTTACTGCACAGATTGCAGATGACGGATTCTGCACAGCATCACAGTCACACCAATATCCCTCCACGGTGAATCCGACACGTTCAAGAGGCACTGACATCGCCCCCAAGGTCAGCGCAGATGGAGATGAGGATGGCATCGGGTCGTAGACGAGATCGAGAACCCCTCACAGCCTGCCGTCGACATGTCGAGGGGAATGTGCGAAGGCGAGTGCGTTGCTGCCTTTTCTCCTCTTCTCCTGCGAATTCTACGCAACCTGGTCCCGGGTAGGTAAGGTATGGATCTAGGACAGGGGAGATGGATGGCAATGTTACGAGACGCCATTATCGAGCATCATTGCTGCATAGACAATAGCAACAGGAATGATATCACGGTAGGATCACCACGTCGGTAGTGGGAGTGGTATGGAAGGCCAAAGATGGCGTGGTGAGACGGATGCCGTGGTCAGTAAGATAGATAGCCGAGCGGAACGTAACGTAAGATTTCAAGGTTGCGATCCAAGGGGTGCGGTGGGTGAGTATTATACGTAGATTGAAAAAGAAAAGAAGATCCCGAGATGTCGGTCAGAGCTGGCAACGATCAGCTACGATGTGTCAACGTCCCACCGCATTCCATTGTCGACGGACATCAACCTGCGCCTCAACACCGACGATGTCCCGCGGACGCTTGATCGGGACGCCCGGGAACTTGGTAACCTTTGCAAGCCCGACCGGTAGTCACGCGCAGTACACGACATCCGAACGATACCCATAGTCGGCCACGTACAATGGCATCTCACTCTGAGGAGGTAATGGCGGAAGAGAGCCATCGTCCATCACCGCAGACGGACCGGCATTGCCACTGCCAGCGTGGGGCTCAAGTATACCCCGGATCAGTAATACATGTATGCATCGACGTCGCGTCGTCACGCACCGATGCAACCTCGGTGCTGCCGCTCAGACGGCATCTCCTACCTGTGGGCGGGACGTGGACCGTTCGGCAAAGTCCATACCCAGGCCACCCACCCGGTCCAATACGACATTCTACAATCTATCTTGCCTACTCTCGTCTGTTTATTTAGCCGCCCTCTCGGGCATGCAAGCTAGGCCCATGGGACCAGATCGAGGTTAGCTCGCCGAACCCCGCAAAGATGGCAATCCTCGTGTCCTCCGTGCGATCGACAACGTGCT